GATAAAGAAGTTATGAAAGATTAAAGAAAATGAGTTTTTAAAGGAAATTCTGGAAAAGAGTTAATAAGAGATTTTTAAGATGGAATTTGACTTGTCATCAATAAGAATAAGAGATTTATGAAGTTAGAAAATATTTATAACAAATTTGAAAGTTTAGTAAGATTCTTAATTTTAAGAATCTTGATGAAATATGGAAGATAAATATGATTTATATGGACATAAGTTGGTTTCAATAATGATAGTTGAGTTTAAAGACATGATAGGGGATTAAAATAGAAGAATTGAATGAAGAATTGATGAATTTCGGGCTTGAAATACAATTTCTGGACAAGGTGCATCGATGCACATTCATAAGTGCATCGATGCATTCCTTTAAAAGAAGAACATCGAATGCCTTTGATGCATCGATGCATAGCTAATGCATCGATGCATCCTTTTAAAATAATAACATCGAATGCAATCAATGCATCGATGCATAAGGAGTGCATCGATGCATCTCATTAATAAGGAAACATCGAATGCATTTTATGCACCGATGCACAAGTAGTGCATCGATGCATACCTTCATTGAAAGAGGAAATTGGCTTTTCTCTTAGCCTAAGAAGTGACAGTTTAGAATATATCAATTGGAATATTGATATGAATCTGTGTATTGTTATGTAGAGATAGAACGTGATCCGTTTCGGGATAATTGAGGAATTAGAATCGAATCAAAGCAAAGCTAAGGTGAGTGCAATTTATTTTGTACTTATTTTATTGAATTAACATTGGCTTGCGATGAGCCAGTGATGGAGTTACTATGGTAAGAAGTAACTTCTAAATTGTTATGTGATTACCACGTATGCATTAATACATAGAAATAGATGGATGCTATGTTATATGATTTATATGCTTAAGTGAAAATGCAACATATGATATATGTTATTTGACATGACATGCATGGTTACATGAAAGAAAGCTATGTGACTACATGTATATGTGAAAGAAGCTATAAGCTTATATGTACATGTGATATATGTGATATGAATTACAGGAAATGATTTACGTGAATACATGTATATATAATACATGTGATATGATATGAGATATATGGTTACACATACATGTGGTATGTGACAGAAGAGAAAGAACAAGTGATACGAAATGTATAAATAAATGCCCATAGTATATGATACGAGAGCTATAGGTATAGTTGGCATGCCAAGAGTCGAGGGTTTACCTATGTTGAAAGGAACATATGGATAGTTGCCGAGGATCTTTATGACCTCTGGATAGTTACCGGGGTTCTTTGTAACCTCTGGACAGGTCCTTCGGGACGAATACTGAACGAATGTTCGGTGCCCCATGAGGGAATTTATACGAGCTGTGGTGACAGCATTAGTGCACAACCTCAATGTACTCACATACCTTTATTCTCAATAATATACATGGGCAATGAAATTGAAAGACAAATGAAAGTGAAAGTGATACAAGAAGGTAAGTTGCATGTGTGCATGACCTGATTGTATATTGTTATCATACAATAGATTCATGCATATTGATATGTCATGATTCAATGATATGAATGCACATACATGAATTATATGATGTTATGTGTGTTTCTGAGTATAGTGATATATGTGTTACATGATGAGTATATGTTAAGTGGAAAAGGATTATTGATAGTGTTTGCATATGTATGTCTTTTATTTATATGAAATGATATATGGTTATATTATATGTTTTATATGCTTCACTAAGTCTATGACTTAGCGTGTAAGTGATTTACACGTAGGTACCAAGAAACGAGAAGTGAAAGAATAGAAGTGGCAAAGACAGTATCACTACTAAAGGATCAGATCAGAAGTATTTGACAAAGTATGTATTTGGTTATGTATAAAGTGTTGGCATGTAATAAGTCATTAAGTACGAGCACTCTGATAAAGTCTGTATTTTGTTTTAAATAAAGTTTTAAATTTTCCGGGATTTTTCTTAAGAGTCAAGGTTTGAAAAGTCAATGTGACACGTCGGACTCGTATCCGGGTCGGGTACGGGTTGGGGTGTTACAGTTTTGAAGTTTTTTAGGAAAAAAAGGAGGGTGGTTTCGGGTTTAGGGTGTTTCGATCTACGATTTGAGCTATTTTGATTTTTTCCAGCCGTGAATAGTAACCAGAATAGTAATCGGCGACAATAAATAGTAATCGACGATAGTGAATAGTGATCGGCCTATGATCGGAGCTCCTTCCGGTGAGGGAATTTAGAGAAAAGTGAGAGATTCTCTCTCCTTAGAGAGAGAAGCAAAATTGAGAAAATGATAAGAATTGGCCATTTTGAGCCAAATTTGGGGTATTTATACACTTATCAAAACTACATTGTTTTGGGGAGGGAGTGTGTGTGCAATTTCAAGATTGATAAATCACGTCCATGGTCCTTATATTATGTAATCTTCTATTATAGTCACTGAAATCAGGTTTCTATATCTTTTAATTTTGTCTTCACATTTTATTTATTTTTATTTTAGTTACTACCCGTATATTTACATATATTTAAATAATATTTTAGGATTATTTACACTTTTAATATATATATATTATAATATTTCGAATATTGACCAATAATTTATATATTTTTAATTTAATCCTATTATTATTTTGGTTATTATTTAATTGCAACTTTATTTTATTTTTATTATTATATTTTATGTTTAAATATTTTAAATCTAATACTTATCTATTACTTTTTATTTTAGTCACATATGTATAATAATATATACTAGTGTTTAAAATAAAATAAACTTTAAATAAATAATATTAATAGTATATCTATGTTTGTTAATTAATATATCATAAATGAATCTTTTCTTTATTAAACTCACTAAACATAGTTTATAAATCATCCACTAAATTGCCAAAAGCTTAGACAACCCACGTTTTAGAGCTAGTGGATATTCACATGTTTTTAGGGAGAATAGGTTATTTTATGTAAGAAATATTGTTTATGCTCATTAAGTTAATATATGGTTATATATAAATGCTTGTTGTATAAATGGTGGATTTTTATATATTGTATCACGTGTAATATACTAATTATGTGTGCTAAAGTGACTTTGATATTATATATATAATATTATTATATATGGAAATATTAAATGTTCTGATATATGTGTTATCCCACAAAATAAATTGATTAAGAGGAATATTCGAGCATTTTAATATTGTCATAAAGTGACTGTCTTAACGTATAAGAAAGTTACTTTCGATAATTTTAAAATGAAAGTATATCCCGTCAAGTAACACCAATTAAATCGAATTCATTTTTTAAAAATTCGGGGATTGAAGAAAAGATCATATTCTTCTAATTAAATTCATCGAGAAAAGACAGTTAGATCGAATCTATGGTATCGTCTCGAGATATTTAATTAATTGAATATCCTTATTCTCATTAAATATTGGTAAAATAAATAATTAATCAATTGTTTGATAGGTTTTTAATTTGTTTGACTTTTGCATGTGCTTTCAAAGGGTTTTCAAAATAATAATGTTCGATCAGAAACAATAATTAAATATTATTGTGTTCACTCTTAAAATTATTTTGGGTGCTATTATTTTGAAATTTAGAATGAAATTTTAATATTTTTTTATTTCAATTAGAGTAAGAATCGATTGCTTCAATGTATGATAGATCGGTTCTTCTCGATAAGAAATGATTAAATATTATTATCTTTCATCTAAAATTTTGAAAAATGCTATTTTAAGGGATCTTAAATTAAATCAAACTCGAGCTTGTACATTTTATTGCAAAGACAATTAATTAATCAACTAGATACTGATTTAGGACGTTGTGGGGGTGCTAATCCTTCCTCACACGTAACCGACTCCCGAACTCAAATTTTGGTAACGTAGACCTCAAATTTGTCTTTTTAATCAAAATTAATATTTTATTAAAATGACAAATTTATTTTTGGGTGTTCAATTACACCCTAATCAAAGATTGGTGGCGATTTCCCGAACCTCGTTTTAGTTCAAACCGATCGATCCAAAGATCATTTTCGAGGCAGGACAACTTTCCCCCCGCTCGGGTAAAAGACCGTTTCGACACATATCTAAGGCTTGATTAGGGTCTCCTTACTTGCAAAGGGCATGAACCAGGATAGAGTAACCAACCACATCCATAGCAAGGAAACTTTCACTGGTTTCTAAGACAAGTTTATATGCATCCAATAACCTACCCTCTTTCACAAGGCTTTTCAAAACCGAGGGAGGTAAAATGACTGTTGATACCAGCTCTTTCATTTTCTTGAGGAACCGTAGTGCAGTGTTGATATTCTTAAGACACAGGTATTGTGCCAAAATCTTGCAAACAATAGGCTCAACAAGGCCATACTCTTTTAGGAAGAAATTAAGAAAAGGCCCAACTAGAGACATTTTCCCACCGTAAATAAGCTTTTTCAGTCAGAGATTATAGGAACTTTTCATCAATATTAAACCCTTCCACCTTATCACAGAGTACAATTCACTTGCAGCTTCAACAAAACCTCTTTTGCACAAGAAAAGTATAGCATCACCACATAAACTATTGTGAGCGTCTGACCTAAAATTCTCGAGTTTGTAAACAATATTCATAACCCCCACTGCACCTGTTTGAGCAAAAGCTGCCCGGATCAACATCATAGAGATACCCATGTCCAAAACCAAACCTTTGTCACAAAGTTCAATAATCACCTCAACCGCCATATCAACCATTCCCTCTTTGCATAGCCCACTAATCATGCAATTATAGCATGCAACAGAAGAAACTAAAGACATCCTAAACTCATCAAATACCTCAAGTGCCTCCTCTATTCTACCCGCTTTACAATAGCCATCAATCATTGTGCAATAAGTAATTGGATCTGCATTCAAATCCATTTCCGGCATTGCTTGGTAGAGTGCACGGGCATCTTCATATGCACCAACCATAAACAGTGCTTTGATAAGAATGTTACATGCAACGACGTCCATACGGAGCCCTGATTCATCCAATTTTCCTTTCGTCTTAAAAATCCCTTCCACATTCCCTTCGTCAGTGTAACCATGCAATAGAGTACTGTACGCTATAATATCACCACCTGCCTCCTTGAATACGTTATCAGCTTCAGATGTCCTCCTAACCTTACACAAACCGTTAATGACTATGTTATAAGTAATAACACTCGGCCTTCTTCTCCATTTCACCCTACAGATGGAAGACACAGTCAAAATCTCCTTTCCAACAAGCTCCATCAATCAGTGTTGCGTACATATACTCATCCACTTCAATCCCCATATCTTGAGCTTCCTTGAACAATGTAGATGCCTTCTCCAATTTCCCTTCTTTACAAAATCCTAACATGATTACCGTACACGTAATCACATTGGGCAGCACCCCATCTTTCAACATCTTCAGAAACGCAACAGCCTTGTCCATGCTGCCTTTCCTCGAGAATCCATCGAAAAGAATAGTGTAACATACGATATCCGGATTAATTCCTCTGTCCACCATCTGTCTATGCTTCTTCAAAGCCTCCACTAAACACCCATTTCCAAAGTACCCTAAAATCCAACAGCTATAAAGAACATCCAAAGCCAGCCCTTGTTTTTCAATACTAGAAACCAAATCACAAGCCTCATCAAATCTACCCAACCGATTGAAAGCGTTTAACAGAGACGTATAAGTAACAACATTAGTCCTTAAAGCTCCTAAATTCACACAATTTTTGAAAAATTCAAGCGCAACATCAAGTCTCCCAGTCTTACAAAAACTAGCAATGACAGAACTAAAAACAAAATTATCAAAAGGGTATCTAACACTATCACCCGTCATCAACTCCAACACCTCAATTGCTATCCATATTCCCTTGAGATACAAAACTATGAATCAACGAACAAAACGTAAAAGAAGAAGGCAAAGTACCAGAATCCGCTAACCAATCCTTCAACAGAAAAAGACCCTTTTCTGGGTTGTTCTGGATGATACCGAACCCTTGAATTTAAGAATCCCGAAATCGATATCTGGGGAAATTGGTTAGATTTTGAAGTCTGGATACTGATGAAATGCTCGGCTTCTACGAATCTTTGCAATTTGAGGAGAGAGCGAGTGAGGATTGAGTGAGTTTGGGGATCGGCATTGATATTGTTGGATTATGTCGCAACTGTATTTCGGGTGGACTCGAAATTTAACTTCGACTTAAATAAAATATTAGAGTTATTATCGATCATTTAAAAAATATTTAGATTGATCGGATACCATTTTACTTAATCTGTATTTTACCAGAAATATGTCGGATTCGGGAGTCGGTTACAGTCAAGGAAGGATTAGTACTCTTGAACTGTCCGTTCAGTACCATTTAATTTATCAGTTGTCTTAATTACGAATTAAAATTAAAATTAAAATTTAAAAATTCGATCATAATTATTTACTTTTCGATCAATTAAAATTATCCTATAAATCATAAATAAAGTTAAAAAATAAAACAAACAAAGACAAAGAGTTAATATTAAAAAGTAAAAATAAAAGGAATGAAAGAAAATTCAAAATAAAAAAAAAGATTAAATTGGAAAGAATTAAAATTCATGGATCAAATTAATCCTAGGAATGAGCTGCAAGAGAAAAACATAAACTTAAGGGATTAAATAGCAAAAAACATAAATTTAAAGTACCAAAATAGCACAAACAAAAATTTAAAGAATTAAAATAGTATTAACAAAAACTAGAAGGACATAATAAAAAAATATAAACAAATCAGAGCCTCAACAAACAATTTAAAATAAATAAAGTTGCCCAAATTTATAATAAAATCTAATTATATTGACTAAAATGCAAGAAAACATAAAATAATAACTAAATAAAAAATAAACAAGGATCCAAATGCAAAATTAAAATAATCGAGGCTAAATCAAAAACTAATAATGACTAAAATAAAGGAAATGAAAGTTACAGACATAAATCATTACAAAATATAACATATTGTTGATCGAATTCAAAATAACGAAAATAAAGCGCCTAAAATAAAATAAAATAAAAACGTAGAGGTTCTGTGACTAGAATGTAAAAATAAGGTAATATTAGAGGGACCTGAACGTGATTAGACACAAGGATTTGGTGACCAATGTGTAAAAACATGACAGAATTGGGAGGGCCTCAACGCAATTAACCGCACAAGTTTGGTAACTGATTTTTAAAAACACGCGATAATGGAGTGACTTAAACATGAATAGACCAATACTTTAAGAGACCAATATAAAATATGGAAAGAAAGTAAAGGACCCTATGTGAGATTAACCTAAAATTAACATAAAATCAATTCTCTTTCCCATGATTTTCAATTTTGCCCGAGTTTTTAATTTTGAATCCCTAGCCTTCTTTTTCTTCACCTCGCGACGCAGCAGCTGGTTCTAATAAATTGGAACCCACGTCTCCTCGGCCACCCTATATGGGCGGCCTTTTTACTTCGGCTGGTGGCTTACCAAACGAGGGGAACACCACAAAAACAAACCTCTAACCACAACTCACGATATCTCTTCACATACGAGGACCAAACCGCGAAACGACCACCATACGCGGTGGTCTGGCGACCCCAACTAACCTATCACCTCCCAGACGACTTTGCTACTTCGACGAACCCAATCGACAGTGAGGTGAGATGTCCCTGTTGCTCTTCAAATTCTATTTTTTTAGAACCCATGGAATTTTCATAAGCTAAGAACAAAATTATAAACTAAAATTCTTATTATTAGTTGCATTCAAGAATTGAACAAATAAACTAAAAAAACTGAAATACCTTTGGATTCGATTATGTTTTTGATTGCTAAAATGTGTTTCCATTGTTGAAAGAAACTTTTCTGTATTTTATTGCTATATTTTCTCCCCCATTTACATGGATTTCAGTTGGGTTATATACCCATTACAGAGGAAAAAAACGAAACGATAATCGAGCAACTCATGGGCACAACATGGGCTCCTGGCACAACATGGTGGAGTAGTATGGGTGGAGAGGTTGGTGGCCGACAAGTATGGGTGGTGGCAGTAATTGGTGGTGCCCAGCATGGTGTTTCTTGTTGGTGGCTGACAGGTATGGGCGGGGCATGGGCAGCGTTACTGGAATTGGTGCATGGACAAAAATTGGTGTTTACAACTACCCCTCTTTGCACATTCTTATGTTAACAAGAATAGAGAAAAGACGAAAAAGATAACCAATTTTTGTCCGGTTCTTCTTTTTGGTTTTAGAAACTTGATAGTGTTTGATTTTGAGGACGACACTGCTTATACGTGATGAAGAGTTCTGGTCATCTAAGGGTTGACATGGCTCCTACGTGATGAGGAAATCAGGTCGGGTGATGACATGGTTCATACGCGATAAGGACGACGGTCCATCTAAGGGTGATAACACGGTTTCTACGTGATGTGGACGGCTGGTTATCTGGGGTTGACACGACTCCTACGTGATGAGGAAATCAAGCCGGGTGATGACACGATTCATACGCGATGAGGACAACATGCCATCTAAGGGTGATAACACGGTTCTACGTGATGAGGATGACTGGTTATCTGGAGTTGACATGGCTCCTACGTGATGGGGAGATCAGGTCGGGTTGGATATCCTTCGTCGTGAAGTTGAAATCCAATCTCGAGTTGTATTGCTACTTGTGGGCACGATATCCTTCGTCGTGAAGTTGAAATCATGGATGGCTCATTCGTTGTGAAGTTGAGCTTTGAATTGGATATCATTCGTCGTGAAGTTAAAATCCAAGGGTTGCATTGTTGCTTGTAAGCACGATATCATTCGTCGTGAAGTTGAAATTGTGGATGGCCCATTCGTCGTGAAGTTGAGCCTCTAATTGGATATCCTTCGTCGTGAAGTTGAAATCGTGGATGACCCATTCGTCGTGAAGTTGAGCCTCTAATTGGATATCCTTCATCGTGAAGTTGAAATCGTGGATGGCCTCGTCGTCATGAAGTTGAGCCTCAAATTAGATATCCTTCGTCGTGAAGTTGAAATCCAATCTAAGGATGTTGATGATGGACACGATATCATTCGTCGTGAAGTTGAAATCGTGGATGGTCCCTTCGTCGTGAAGTTGAGCCTCGAATTGGATATCCTTCGTCGTGAAGTTGAAATCCAATCTAAGGATGTTGCTGATGGACACGATATTCTTCGTCGTGAAGTTAAAATCGTGGATGGCCCCTTCGTCGTGAAGTTGAGCCTTGAATTAGATATCCTTCGCCGTGAAGTTGAAATTGGCTCTGAATGAAACTGGGAAACCCCTTCTCTATGAAGTTGAGCTTTGAATTGGATATCCTTCGTTGTGAAGTTGAAATCCAATACTGCTTGTGAGCACGATATCATTCGTCATGAAGTTGAAATCGTGGATGGCCTCTTCGTTGCGAAGTTGAGCCTTGAATTGGATATCCTTCGTCATGAAGTTGAAATCCAATCTTGTTTGGCTTTGAGTTGGATATCCTTCGTTGTGAAGTTGAAATCCAATCTCGAGTAAATTGTGTCGCTTCGAGTCCAATATCCTTCGCTGTGAAGTTGAAATTAACTCTGATTGAAACTGAAAAGTTGTTTGTTGAGTCCAATATCCTTCATTGTGAAGTCGAAATTGACTCTAAAAGCTGCAAAATATTATGTATGCAAAAATGATGAATGTGATGCTCTTAAATATGTCTAAGATGCATGCAATATGAATTAACTCTTGTTTAATCTCCTGGGCGGAGTCTTGTGCTTTGTCTGCTTGTTCCCGCATGTGGAGGAAAGACCTTCAGAAGATCTGATAATTCGTACAAGGATATTGAATTCCCAAAGATGGCCTGATATTCGATGTTGATTCTCAATAGATGCCCCAACATTTGATGATTCAAAAATGCCCTCATAGTTCCTCATCTATTGCTTTAGCACTGATTCTAAGCATAAGCTTTATGTCTGAGAGTCACATGTCAAATACCAAGATCTACTCTAGAGAGAATGTCTTGTTTGAAAAGTGTTTTTTTCTTCTTTTATTTTTGAGATCTGAAAATATCAATTAGAAGAGTTTTGAAAAATGTTTGATCAAAATTTTTTGAAAATAGTGCTCCTTTCTCGGTTTCATAATTGAGACGAATCATGAAACTAAAGTTCATTGGACATCAAAGAATTAATTACACTGTTAATCCTTCAATAAATTAAAACTATTTGACAAGTGTCAAGATCAAAGCTATCTTTGGGAAATGGTTAAGTAAGGAAAGGATAAAAAAGTCTCAGCTTATTATGTTTGGTTAATGGTTTGGCCTTATTATTTATTTGATGTTCACTGATTTGACAGGGTAGTTTGTATGCTTCTCCACTGGAAGTGTTCTCCGGCTCCCAACTCTCATGGTCACACTCGGATTGTGCAATGTCTTATCAAGGAATTTGTGCGATCGCCTCAGCTACACCATTTTTATATTTGAGCCACCTTTTCAGGTTTTCAACTCGAATCCTCCTTTGATTTCAAAACGTCATTCGAAATTTACGTCTTGAACCCCCCTTTGTTATTTTTCTCTATCATGCATTAAAGATTTTAGAAAACCTTTTGTAAATAAAGATTAATCTTGATGTGCGAGATGAAATCTGAAGATAGTTTCCTCTGTTTAGAAATCCATGTATGATTAGAAGGGACTTTTTAAGGCACGTAATGTAGGCCATGGTTCATGGTTATGAAAGAAAAGGATAAATAGGCCCAAATAAGTGTTTCAGGGTATTAAACAAAGGATCAATTCATTCTGATGCCTTCAATCCTGTCTTGCTCAATTTGAATCTGTTTGTATGTCTCTCTCTCTTGATGCTCTATGATCTTCGAGTGAAGTGATTCTGGAATAATTGTGCTTGATCAATCTCATAGTTTGAAGCTTGATGCGCAATTTGACTTGAGGGAATCTTTACGTGTGTTTCTTGTTCCTTTTTCTTTGTTTATTTTCTTTTTGCTTCTTTTCTTTTTGATTTTTGTTCTTTTTTTTTCTTTCTGCTTTGATTTGATCTTTGCACTTGGCGTTTAGTTCACC